GATCACAGCTTTGTAGTAAAGCTTGAAATCAGGTAACATGATGCCCCAGCTTTGTTTTTCTTTTTGAAACTTCCCTTAGCGATTGGGGGTCATTTCTGGTTCCATACAAATTTTAGGATTGTTTGTTCCAGCACTTTGAAGAATGCCAGTGGAATTTCGATTGGGATGGCATTGAAAGTATACATTGCTCTGGGCAGTATAGACATTTTAACAATGTTTATTCTTCCAATCCATGAGCATGGAATGTTTTTCCACCTTTTTGTGTCTTCAATTTATTTCACGAGTGTTCTGTAGTTCTTTGAGTACAGATCATTTACCTCTTTGGTTAGGTTTATTCCAAGGTATCTTATTGTTCTTGGTGCTATAGTAAATGGAATCAAGTCTCTAATTTCCCTTTCTATATTTTCATTACTAATGTATAAGAAAGCAACTGACTTCTGTGCATTGATTTTGTATCCTGCCACATTACTGAATTGCTGTATGAGTTCTAGTAGTTTGGGGGTGAAGTCTTTAGGGTTTTCCACGTAAAGTATCATGTCATCTGCGAAGAAGAGAGAGTTTGACTTCTTCTTTGCCAATTTGAATACCTTTTATTTCTTTTTGTTGTCTGATTGCTGTTGCTAGGACTTCTAGTACTATATTGAACAACAGTGGTGAGAGTGGACATCCTTGTTGTGTTCCTGATCTCAAAGGGAAGGCTCTCAGTTTTTCCCCATTGAGAATGATATTCACTGTGGGTTTTTCATAGATAGATTTTATGAGTTTGAGGAATGTTCCCTCTACCCCTATACTTTGAAGAGTTTTAATCAGGAACGGATGCTATATTTTGTCAAATGCTTTTTCTGCATCAATTGAGAGGACCTTGTGGTTCTTCTCTCTTCTTTTATTGATTTGTTCTGTCACATTGATTGATTTATGAATGTTGAACAACCCTTGTATCCCAGGGATAAATCATCTGGGTCACCATCTCTGTGCTCCTCTTTGGCCTCCCACCTAATCACAAAATAGCTGCCACAGCTCCAAATACTACAGTTCCCTTCTGTTCGAGTAGAAACTCTTTCCCTTTCTATCTCATTGACCAAAGTTGGGTTAAACGACCATATACCACTAACTTTATCTGTTGTCCCAGCTTTGTTGATACATTTATGCCAAAGAAATAGGGAAAGCCAGAGCTATTCATGGACAGATTTCTGGAGAAAAGACCAACATAGATTTTCAAGCACTTTAGTCTTTTGTGGGTACTGAAGACCAATTGCCATCCTATAGATTTGGTCCATGCTTAGTTTATAAAACATTTTCATATTTTGAAAGGCAGGATCACCAAAGTTTTAAGAACATGAAGCTTAAGTGCCTGCTTCTACCATTTTCTTGCTAGATGATCTTGTGCAATTTCCTTAACTTCTCTGTGCCTCAGTTTGTCTTCTGTAAAATGAGAATAATAGAATCTATGAGATAAGGTTTCTGAGATTCTTAAATACAAATACACAGACATACTTTATAACAGTATTTGGCACACAGGAAGCACTCCTTAATTTGCTATTATTATGTCATTATTTGGTGGTCTTGTCACTCCTTTTAAATAGAAACAGTGAGAGTGTTGGCATGCCTGGCTGGCTCAGTCGATACAGCATGTGACTCCATCTTGGGGTTGTGAGTTCGAGCCCCACAGTGGGTACAGAAGAAAGGAAGGAAGGAAAGGAAAAGAAAAGAAAAGAAAAAGAAAGAAAAAAGAAAAAAGAAGAGAAAAGAAAAGAAAAAGAGAAAGAAAGGAAGGAAGGAAGAGAGTGTTAAGGCTCAGAGAAATTAAATGACTTACCCACACTCCCACAGTTAAGTAGCATAAGGGGATAATACAGATGGTCTGATGCCTGTGCTCAGAGCTCTCAGCCCTCCTGGCCTCCCTTCTCGAATTTTCTATCAACACTGACTGAGGGGGATGGCCTTGCACCTAGTGGCTAAATACTGTTTCAAAGGTGATGCTGTAGTTTGTCAAACACACTGTGAATTATCCAAAAACAAGGACTATGTCTTAAGGTCCCTCCTATACCCCACCCCTAACACCGAGTAGGGCACAGGGAAGATTCTGGCTAAACGGGTTTGTAAGGGGAGAGATGGCGCTTCCATGGGGGATCTTCCCCAGTGGGAATCAGAGCCCAGTGTGCACTCCCTAAGCCCGGGGGGTGGGGGTGGGGTGAAAAGGTGGGGCCCACTCGGGGAGCCCCTGACGCCAGGTAAGGCTTTAGGAAATTGCTGTTGGAACTAAGGTTCGCAGCATAAAAAAATCAATTTGTGTCTGAATTGACTCTCTGAATTCCCTGTGGCCTCTCTCAAGTCCCATTTTACCTTTCTCCCACCCATCTAGCTATGGAGGTAGTGGCAGATTTACATTATTTTACACCCAGTTAAGAATTTTTTTTCTCCTTTTGCTTATGTTTTTAAGTAGAACATTTATTGCCTCTAAAGGGGTGTTTTTGTTAAAGACAATAGTGCCCTTTAGGTAGTCACAGTGTTATTTCACAAATACCTATAAAACTATTAAACAAGCTGGGATCGCTGGAGCTCTGATTAAGAGGGGCTTTCCAGTTGTCTTTATCTTTGGAAGCCCCGTGAAACAACGTAACCACCCTCGTTCCCTGGTGCGACAGCAGCATGCAGAGATGTGGGGAGACAGGGGCAGGTCTACTTGGACTGTGAGGGCAGGGCCCTTGTTTCCACCTCTAGAAGCCCCGTTTGTGGCAGGCGTCTTGCTCAGGACTTTGCTTCCAGCTTGTCCCAGAGGCCCAGGATTCCCAGGCTATGAGTGGGAGCAGGGGTGAGAGAGGCCTGGGTGTGGGGACATCCCGTCACTGAGTGGTTCACAGTGCCCACTCCTCGCTCTACCACTTACGAGCTGTGTCCCCGGCGCACGTTATTTGACCCCCTCTGTGCCTCCACTTCCTCACTCAAAAGTGGGGATAATGTTACTTTAAAAAGTCGGTGGAGGTCGGGGGTGGTCAGGTGGCTCAGTCAGTTAAGCTCAGTCAATTAAGCTAATTCTTGATCTCAATTCAGATCTTGATCTCAGGGTCGTGAGTTCAAGTCCCGCACTGGGCTTGGAGCCTACTTTAAAAAAAAAAAAAATTGGGATAATAAGAACACAGCCTCCTAACTAGGATGTTGGGATGATTAAAAGAAGTGTGTCCAAAATTGAAGTTGGCAGGTGTCAATCAATGTGCTGAACCAGGAAGGCAAGGGAGAGGACTCTGGCATAGGAGTGGCCTCCCTGATTCCTTCTAGATGGTCCACCCAGCCCTTGGCCTCCTGCCAACACACCCTGCCTTCCGTCCTGTCCCGTGGGTCTGCAGAGTTCAGACCCCACAGCCTCAGAGTGTTTATCGTGTAGTTGGGACTGGACCAAAGTTTACTGTGTGCAACTGTCAGTAGGAGTGTAGAAGCAAGGTGCAAAGGCCCTGACAAGAAGACATGCCTCTGACACCCTCCCAGGGTTTGTCATCCCCTCTCCACGACCGTGGTCCTTTTGTCATAGCATTTCCCAAGGGTTGCCAGCCAGACCCCATGCTCTGTGCCCTGAGGTTAATTCAGTTGCCAGTCCCAGAGCCCGGGGCAGTTGTCGTTGTGACTCCCACTGGGTAGCAGAGAAAACTGAGGGATCTGTCCCCAGAGCGGGTGGTTCCCCTGTTCGCAGGCAACACGTCCCTTGTCCTGCTGGACACAGAGCCCTGGCTGGAGTCTGAGCCCCGACTGCTCGGCTTCAGCGGGCTCTCTGTGTCTCCTTGTGGTGGCACATGACACTAGCCATAGTAAGTGTTCTGAGAAGTTACACTAAACCATCGTTCACCGCTGTCGTCATCCTCAGCATCAGTATCCAGCCCGTCCCAGCAGCCCGTCCCTGTGCCAAGCATGTGACAGGCATCATCTCATTTAATCTCTGTCACAACATTAGAAGGCCCGCAGTGTTACTATACCCATTTGAAAGTTGAGTGAACCCTAAGGATCCCCAATTTCCCCTTAATTGTGTTTTCATTTTTTTTTTGTTAACATTTCCAGTAATCATTTTACATTCCATCATGGCAGCCAGGTTCAAAAACGTTAAACGACTGGGTATTTCACACCAGACCCTCGATTCTGCCATCTCCAAGGTGCCTTCAGACAAACTGTGTGCTATGCTAATTACAGGAACACTCCTAGCCTTTCTCTGAATGGGATCCCCCCCCAGCCCCCTGAGGAGCTATAATAGGTAAACTTGGTTGTGTTAGGTGTGTGAGTGTGTTCTCAAAGTAAACCTGAAAGGCTCCCTAGTTCTGTGTTTTCACATGTTCACCAAGGCCTTCCGTCCCCCATGTGTCCCATTCTGAGGGTTTGATACACCGGGAGAGCGTTAACTGAGGAAACGTTAAGTAACAGGCGTTGAAATGTAAAATAAAGCACGTGAGACTAGTAGTACTGGGTGGGGGCCTCAGGGGGGTTTAATGAGGACTCGGGAAGCTGACTGAGGATGTCCAAGTGAAGGGGGAGATAAATGTTCTTGTCATTAATGCGCGCATTAAAAAGTGACCTCCTCCAGCAGGATCAATATGGGGACCTCCTGACCTTTCTTGTCACCTGGAACTTCATTTCTGGGACTCTGTGGTCCTGTTAATAAAAACAATAATCACCAGCCTGTCCTCATCTACTGTGGAACATTTTCCTTTTTTTTGGAGGGAGAGGATGAAATTAGAAGTCACGACTTCTAGAATATTTATGGGTATATATGTTTTACTCTCGGATATATTTATTCAATGCTCGCTCTGTAATGAGAGTTTTCACTTTTCTGTTTTCCTTTCCATTATCCCTGAAAAGAATGGATTATGGGGAAAAGATTAAACTAGTATAATGCGACACAGTGTTTGCTAATGTGCTGTCAGAGGTATTAGTAGGACTCGCCAAGGTTTGTGTCTTTTATGAATGCCTTTCAGATTGCAATTATCTAATAGACTGGGAACCTGTGTGTGTTCTTGCAGGCATTAAACGTTGTCTTTGAAAAGATCCCGGAAAATGAGAGTGCAGATGTCTGTCGGAACATTTCAGTCAATGTTCTTGATTGTGACACCATAGGCCAAGCCAAGGAAAAGATCTTCCAGGCTTTCCTAAGCAAAAATGGCTCTCCTTATGGACTTCAGCTGAATGAAATTGGCCTCGGTAAGGCAATGAGGGAGTTATTTTGCCCCTGCCCCCCAGCTGCATGTCTCTCCCACTGTCTCCCCCTTCCTCCCTGCCCACGGCCTGCAATGGAAGCTTACTCACCCAGGCCGCTCCCAGCGGGCACATCTGGGGGCCCGGAGCCTGCATGGTTCCCCCACAAGCAGCATGAGTCCTCCTAGGAAGCATTATCCTTCAAAAACGCTGGTTTTTAAAAAATATTATGTTTGTAAATCAGATTCATGAGATTGCTCGCCTGGAGACGGAATGGATTCACCTTGCATCGGGAAGTACAAAAAGGCGGGAACCCCGTGCCCTCTCTCTGTGTTGCGTTTCACACTGGCATTTGATTTGTTTGTTGTGATACCGAGCGTGTCATTAGCGGGTGGCTCAGACGCTGGTGTGAACTCCCGCGCCCTGGAAAGGTCATCTTCCTCACTGCTAATCGCATCCTGCATCAAGCGTGGTCTTCGTCCTGCCCCCAGCCCGGAGCAGCGTCTGCTGCTAATTCTTTCTCGGGCTCTAGCTGTACACTTCGGAGGCGAGCGGACGCATGAGCGAGCTCACAGGGCTCCGCTTCACTCAAATGTTCATCAGCGTTTTAAAGTTGAGCTCCCCGCGGCCCTCCCCAGAGACCACCGTGCGATTTTATAGCAGATAATGGGACAGGAAAGAAGAGTAAAATCACAGCAGTGACAGCGTAACCAGGTTCATCTCCCCTCGAGGTACGGCTGTAGCCTCGATGAAGCAGGCAACTGAAGTCGTCCCACTGACCCTCCAAGGCCAAACCTCCCACCAAACGGCCATTTAGAGCAGCCAGGGGGCGGGGCCTGGCAGGTGCAAGGAGCTGCGCAGATGTGTGGCAGGTGTGTGACGCGGCTTCAGAGGAAGGGCCGCCGAGGCCCCTCTCCTCTGCCTCTCTTCTGTGTCCTGTGGGTGGCCTGTCGGGTCCTTGAAGGCCACTGTAGCTCACCTGGTTAGCAGCCGGGTCAAAGAGGCAGACCCCGATGGGAGACTGGTCACCTGCCCAGAAGCATCAACCTCTTGCGGCAGCCTCCCTCTGGCCAGCGTGTGGTTCTGGCCGCCAGGAGCTGGGTGCGGGGAGCCGACAGCCACAGGGAGGACAGCCTGGTGGCCTCAGTCCTGCTACGGAGGAATCCGTGGGAGCACCCTCTTGCCATGCCCTGAGCCCACCAGTTCCTCCTGATAGGGCAAGGCAGGGAGCAGAGCAAGTCAACTAGAAGCTTCACGTTGTAGCCTGATGGGAAGTGGTGGCACAGCTTCTCAGCCCTGCCAGGCTTCCGCTCTCATGATGATCTTGTGGGCCACCTCCCGGGCTGGCCTGGAGAAACTAAGGTGAAGCTCCGGAGCCAGCCTTACAGTTGTACTAGAATCCGATCCCTGAGCAGCTGTGGTGGGACGGCCTCTAGCAGAGGCTCACAAACTCAGAGGCCCAGAGGGGCAGCCGCTGTCATAAATAAGGGGTTTTGGCCCACCTAGGACACCAGGAAATGGGACCCACCTTCACTGGCGGAGGACACCGCATCTAAGGGGGCAGGTCCCACTTACCCTCAGCCAATAGTTGCATCTGGGTCTGTGGAGGTCAGTGTTAGCAGATGATCCCATTTTTTTAAAGAGAACTTGGTCTGAATTTTTATGAGCTATCTCCTGATCTTTGACTGTTGGTGTTGAATTGACATTAGTAATAAGTGAAACACTGTGAAGGTTCACAAAAGAAAATACTCATCAGTGGGCCACATTCTGGCCCTAGGGCACAAGTTGGCAACCTCCATGAAAGAGCTTGAGGCCCGTGGCTTGTGGTGTTAGCCCACCAGTGCCCCCCCCCCATGCAGGGAAGGACAGGAGACTGGTCCCAACGCACCTGCTTGGAAACATACAAATTTGGTGTTAGAATTTTATGCAGAGCTTCATCTCTCTCAGGATACATTATTTTGTTTTTATTGGCTTTACTTCCAGGCTTAGCCTCAGAGGATAAGCTTCAGGGAAACATAGTCTTAAAAGTCAAAGCCCTAAACACAAAACAAAAACAAAACAAAACTCGGGCTCCCTGTCTGGCTGAGATATCACCAAACCTTCAAACTAATATTAACCACTTTATTTAAGCTGTATCCTTAAATAATAATTGCTACTGTAATTACAGAGGATTATTTAAACTTTCTCACTATAATGTCAGAGGAGAACAAAATATACTTTTTTTTTTTTCCTTCCCAGAGCTACAAGTGGGAACACGACAGAAAGAACTGCTGGATATTGATAGTTCATCTGTGATTCTCGAAGATGGAATAACCAAGCTAAATACCATTGGCCACTACGAGGTAAGAGCGGGGCTGAGCCCCCGACATCTTTCCCGAGCCCCGTCCTGACTCGATTAGATCATCTCCAGGTGATACCATGGAAATTCTTTTTTTAAAAAATTACACAACTCCCATCATTTTCTGGCACAGTTTGCTGATTGCGTCCTTCGGTGCTCATTCAGAAGCACCCAGGAACCCCCGTCTATCGTGGCCTGTGGTTCCCCTGGCGTCCTCCTCTGAGAGGCCGTTGATTTTCTCTTGACGGATCGCTCTCCATCTTGCAGTTTGGGCGGGAAACTTCGCCTCACGGCTGTCCACAGTGTTCACAGAACCTTGTAACCTTTGTGTAGTGTCCTTCCCCGCCCCCCACTGGGGAAGTTCTACATTTCTTGTTTGTTTACAGTACTCAGTCATAACCTCCTGGGGCCCATGACCCACGTGCTGGCTGAGTGCCAAGGTGGGTATGGGGTGCACGTGCCCTCTCAGAGAGCTGTGTGCCAGAGAAGCCTACCTAGAAAAAGAGGAGGCAGGGAAGGTTCCTGAACATGCTGGGACTGTGGGAGTCATTCAGCCACATTACCCAGGTCTTTGTGGACTATCGGCTCTGTGCCGAGTGCTGGGCTTGCAGCAAGAGGAACAGAGACCAGGTTCCTGACTTCAAGGAGCCTGTCGCCTCAGGGAGGGGGGAAGAGGGGACGGAGACAAGGAAGGAGGCAACATGTACAGTGAGACGGGGCTGTGGCTTGGAGCATCGGAGAAAGCTTCCTGGAGGGAAGCTATGACTCAGCGGAGACCTGAAGGGAGAGGAGGACTTAACCGGGCTGGGATGGGGCGCCTGCATACCCCACAGTTCTTCCACAGGAAGACTGGTCAACTCTAAAACTCGAGAGGTGTGAGGGTGGCCATGAGAGCCAACAGCAGCCAATGTGATGGAGGCCTCACCCTGCTAGACGCTGTCCTCCGCCCTGCCCCTCCTTTTTGCTTACTCCATCCTTTATATAGCAGACTTCTGAGGTGGGTGATTAACCTCTTTACAGATGGGTACACTGAGGCACAGGGAGGTTTACCAGCAGCTAGCCAGTGGCGGAGCCAAGATTTGGACCAAGAGAATTGGGCCCCAGGGTTCACCACAGCCTGTCAAGGCAGAAGGCAGAGAATTGGGGAGGGAGGCCATGGGTTGGGGGAGGGCGACATATTGTGCGGCTCTGTCAGCTTCTTCAGGAATTTGACTTTTGTCCCCAAAGAAGCCATTGGAGGATCTTGAGGGATTTGTGTCTCAGAAATGCCTGCGGCTATGTGTGGAACATGGGTAGGAGGTACAAACCGGGTAACGGGGGCCCTTGGAAGCTGCCGCTAGAAGAATTTCAGGTGAGGATTGATGACGTAGTGGCTGTTGAGATGGAGACAAGCAGAGGGACTCAGAGATGGGCAGGGGATGGAGAGCTTCTGGGTGACGGAGGATCAAGATGGCGCTCAGGGACAGCGGCGAGCAGAGGCTCCGACGTAGGTGCTCTTCCAGCGGTAGAGGAGGGCAGGAGCAGCTTCCCAGACCGCTTGGAAAGTCGGTGCCTCCTGTCTTTCGAAGTCACAGGAACACGTGGTTGGCACAGTAAGGCCTGTGGAGCCTGCGGGCTGCCTCCTCCCCCGGCAGGAAGAAGAGACTGTTCCTGAGAGAGCAGAGGACTGAGGACCCCTCTCCCTGGGGCTCTCCGGCTGAGTGGTTCTCAGAGCCAGTTTGGGAAGAGCTGCTTGGGGTGACCCCTGGCTGGATGCTGTCCCCAGAGCCTTTGCTGGAGAGCACCTGGCAGAGAGAGCTACGGAGCAACAACTTGCTTCTGGACTCGCCCTCCTGCCGCTCAGACTTGCCAACCCTGGTGTCCTCTTGCCAAGAGCTCTTGGCCGGTGGAGTTCGTGAAACTCCCCAGAGGACTTTCCTGCGACGCGCAGCACTGCGAGACACACTGCTCAGGTGTGGGGGGCTGCTGTTTTAATGGAGAAGAGGAGGTTAGGGTCGGGGCTGCTGCCCTGCGAGTGGAAGTCCTTAGAGACGGGCTTAGTATGGCTTCAGTTTGAAGTTCAGTGTTGAAGCCTGGGAGCCATCTCCTTCCTTCCCTGCGTCTGGGTAGCGAGTGTGGTTCTGGCCAGTCTGGAAGGAACCCCGCCACCGACGCCCTCCTTTGATGTTCTTGACTAGGGTGCTTGCCTTCTCAGCTGTGCGGGGTGGGGCACCCCGATAGGCTTCTTGGCATCCCCTAGCAACCGCAGAGCACAAGGTGGGGCACAAAGGAAGGGGTTTGGGGCCGGGGGGAAGGCAGGACAAGACTCTCCAGCAGGGAAAGGGAAGAGCCACCATAGCTGTCTGGAAGGCCAGGGGAAGGCTGTCAGGAGAGATAGGACATCAGTCTTCACTGGAGACATCGGCCGTGCTAGACACCTATCTGCTTAAGGATGATAATGAAATTAATCCGGCCTGTAGTCACTAACCGTCCAAATGATTTATTGGCTTCATACCCTAGCATTGCCACATGGTGGTAATAAATGACAAGACTAGGACACAAGGGCTTAAAGGATTCTCCTTATGTTTAAAAAGCTAAGCCGTAAGGCAAATAAACTCAGAGAGCTTGAAGGAAACTGGGGAGGTCATCGGCCCTGTGCTCTCTATGCCTGGACCATCTCAAATGCCCTGTTTTTCAAAGACTGCTCAGAAAAAAGTATCCTCCATCACCCTTGGCCGCCTAAATCTGTACTCCGCTTAGTAGTTTCCCCGCAGATTTAAAATCTGGAGTAATTTGACAGGAGTAGGCTGACGCTTACTTTTGCCCTTTCGTTAAAAAATTTTCTCCTAGAGCTGGCTTTTCCCTCCGAAGAGACAAGATGCTAATTACCACTCTTATTCATTTACTAAAGCACCCTAGTTTGAGTCACTGTAAGTGCTTGAAAGCAAAAAACTATATTTCATTTAAAAATAGGGTCTAACTCAGAATTTTAAGTGATTCAGACTCATCTCCCTCCAATTAGCCCAAATTAGTTAGGTTTTAAAGTTAATCTTTAGTGACGGCCAGTTCCTCCTCCTATCTAAACAAAGTCCTGTTGCTGGAGTGGGAGCCTGTTTCTTCTTGCCTCTTCTGTCCTTAGGGCAAATAGAGTGTAGCTGGTCTCTGAATGATTTGCTGTCCAAATATTTGAAGAACAGGTTTCTGGAGGGGATCTGAAGACACGGCAAAAATACAGCATCTCGTGGGCCAGATGCAATCTCCACAGCCCCCAGTTGCTGGCCGTGCTCTGTCCTCTGTAGGATGGTGTCCTCGCCAACCCCGGACATGGGCAGGATTGCGTTCTACAGGGACCACAGCACTGTTCGCTTGCATGAGCGCCGATCACAATCACGACGGCAAAGCGTGCTCTTCTGACCCTCCTTTTCCATCAGATGAGCACAGAGGAGGGCAAATGTCTGCTGTGGTCTCATTCTGTCCCATGCAAACAAGGGGTAAAACCAGCGTCTCTACAAACACACTAAGCCAGAGGCATCTTTCTCCCCTATAATTACATCTTCCCCAAGCGGTTCCTTAACTGGCCGTCGCTGTGTGTCATTTACAATGAAGGAAACTTCGGTGTGTTCTGGAGCTGAGGAGTTGTGGGGGGGGTGGTGTCTCTGGGTCCAGGCTCTCTCTTCCCCTCCCCTGCACCCCCATGTGACCTTTCGCTGGATAGTGTCACGGCCCTCACACCCTGCTAGAGGGTGGCATCAAGGGTGCGGAACAGGTGTTGTGTCCGGCAGGAAATGTTCTCTGCACATCGCACGTCTCATTCTGAGCTACGAGAGTCTGAGGGCAGAAAAGACGACTAACCACTGTGGTGTTGAAGAATATTCTCGCAACAGGCCTGTGCTAATGCCACCGCAGTCTCTGCTAATGCCACAGTTGTCATTCAGATGACATTTAAAGCTCATGGAATGTTCCAAAGTGTCTGCTAGGTAAAGTCAGGGGTCCTTCCGGTCAGGTGTGTCATCCGTGACACTGAGGTAAAGGGATTTGACTAAAGGTCTCTCACAGTGTGGGTGACTTCAGAGATTGATTTATTTATTTAACATGAGGGGAGCACTTCTTGCCCACTGGGCACTGTTCCAGCAGCTCTTACAAATGGCAACTGTTTTAGTCCTCGCTACAGCCCGGCAAGGTAGATCCTATCATTCCCATGCCAGGGCACAGGGAGGCTGAGGAAATTGACCAAATTCACATAGCTCTTCTCCCGGATGCTCCAAGGCTAGAAGCTGATGCAAAAGGAATCATTTGCACCCTGTCCTTGCTTGGAAGCAGGCTTGTAGCCCGTGGCCCCAGCCTTGAAGGCAGCCTTGGCTAGGAAACTGGACCACGTCATGAGAAATGCTGGTAGTTACTGTCTCTGATGTCAAAGTCAAGAAGGTAACATCTCTTAAAATCTTCTGACAGACCTCGTGTCAGTGAGTTTATCAGAATGGTTCCTTATTTCTAATTCTACCTTAGATTCATTAAAGGCCAGCAATCCTTGGAGAGCACAGTGGTTGCCTCCCTCAGATAGGAGGCCTCTTTCAGGCATCAAAGAGCTCACAACTCCAGCCCGAGAAAAGCAGGGGAGTGCTTTAGGTTGGAGGCCAAGCTTGTGCCCAGAGGATGAGGTTAGGGTTCTCTCTAATAATCATCAGAGGGAGTTTGCTACTAGCCCAGGCTTAATTCCAAGTACCAAAGAAGAAGCAGGAGCCCTACTGGCATTTTAACTAGTTGCAAGAAAATCCTTTAGCGTTCTGTCCTGGGTGTCAAAAACCACGTGTGTGATTTGTGTGTTGAGAATTTTCTGGTGGGTCCTTTCTAAATACTCTGATGAGCCCTGAGCCTCCTTTGCTCATGGACTGAGCAAGGTTATCCCTTTGGCCCTGAGAAATTAGATTCCTTTTTCATTTGCCTCCAGCCTTGGGGTGTCAGTGGGAAGAGCCAAAGCGGAAGACGGGGAGAACAGAATTGATGAGTGGTTGCGGGGGCAACACTAGTTGAATAGATCTCTGTTTTCCACAGAATATCATTTTAGGAATGAGAGATACCAATAGGGGTTTCCACATGGTGATTTGTATTGATTATTGTGTTTTCAATTTTTTTTCTTTAAGAAAAAAAGTATCACAAAATTTCATAATTTTCCATAAAATTCTTAGGCTAAAATTCTAGCTTTTCTCTTAGGCTAAACAATATGAAATGGTCAATATTTGACCATTTTTACCTACAAAAATGGCAGATTTGTAAGGTTAAATCCAAGTTTAACCTTCTATATCTAGAAAATCTATTTTTATGGAATTTTCTTCAACTTATGCTGCAGAGAAATATTTTACAACAAGAAAACCTTCATTGCACATGCTTTGGAGGAGGTGTACCTTCTGTTTATTTCAGGAGTGACTTGAAATTGTTGACATGAGTCCTTTTAGCCCTGTGTGGTCACAATTCCTAATGCTGCTGCTGGAGGAGTCTCTAGTTTTCTCCACCCTGTTCCAACATGGGCCAGTCATCACCGAAGGGGTAGAGCCTTCTTGTCTCATTGAATCCTGGAGCACTGCGAGGCTGGAAGGAATTTAATTTGAAATAGCACTGTGTTACCAGTTCTGCTCTGGGCTGGGGAAACATTCCTGCCGCAGATCCATCTAGTGACATTAATCTTTCTTTGATTTAATTTGGTTTTCATTCCTAAAGTAGGGGCCCAAAGGATGCTCCCTGCCTCACAGGAGTACAGGAGGATTAATGAGTGACTCTTAGGAAAGCATTTGGAGCTCCTCAGATGGAACAAACAGCATCATATTTTTAACACTTTAGATTCTGTGGCCCTTTTCAAAAAGACATTTCTGTCCTTAATTCAGCAGCAGCTGACTTGTGCAAAATAGAAAATGGAAACCTTCCCCCCCCACCCCGCTCCGCTCCCCAACATCTGTAAATAAACTAGTTTCTGTCTCACAATGGCGGTAAAGTGTCACATGGGGGGAAATGTTCCAGCCCTGGAACAGCTGTGCAAGTTAGAAATACACTCACACACGCAGGCTCAGACACACACACACACACACACAACTCATCCACTAATAAAATGCTTTACACTTGCTCTTGGGAGATAATTTCAGAGTAAAATTTCCTTGGTACAAGCTGCGTCTGTGCTCTCATAATGCCTGAGCTCAGTGCCAGCAGCAAGTCGTTGCCAGCTCTTGAGAAGACGTTTGAACTTCTGGCAGCGCTCCTTATCCGAAGGCCCATCCGTGGTGTTTGTGCTTAGAGGGTGAGGGTGCTCACGCTTAGCCACACAAAGCGTCTGACAGTAGTGGAGTATTGGCTCAACACTCAACAGGATCCATTTGGGATTCATTCTTTGACAATTACCCAGAATGAATCACCAGCTCCCTTTTATAAAAAGATATTTATTGGCTTAGAAACAGAGCCTATCCAGCTCTTCCTTGGGAGGAATTTTATAACGCTGTTCAAATGGTCTCATAAACTTGGTGTCTGAGTGTTGCTAAGGGGATGCCGGTGCAGAGTGTTTACTTTAATTGCATCAAATATGGAAGAGAATGGAAAAAATCACCAGGAAACAATGAATGGCTCAAGGGGAAAAGAGAGGATGTTTGGCAATAACAGCAGAGCAGAATTCAGTAAGAGTTCAGAACCCACGCTGGAGATACTTGTCGGAGGCCTGATGGCCCAGCCAGCCCCCGCACCTAAAACTCCCCCTCCCTCTAAGATGCCGTGAACACCAGCGGTTGGTGGCCTCTGGCCTCAGTGTAGCAGCTGGTTAGACACAGCTGGCTGGACAGCTGCAGTCGGGGCATCTGTGCAGGGTTGGCTCTGCTCTGTGTTCCTTCCTCTGTGGTGCTACCTGAAGGGGATTTGGCTTTAATCCTTCGGTGCTTGCCAAGCAGGTTTGTACATTCTGATAACCAACGTGCAGCAGCCCAGAAGAGAAATTCTAGGTTTCTCCTTTCTCCCAAACTGGGGAAGGCTGGATCCAAAGTAGTATTAGAATTCAAAAGACTGAGAACTTGAGAATGGATGGGAAAAGCACTTAGCTGACCATGTTCCAAAACAACAGCGTTAATCCTCCCTCCACAATCCCAGAATGAAGGCAAGGATTTGTGTATGCCTGACCTGCCTCTTCCTCAAGCCCCTTTGTCTTAAATTTTTATGAACTGGCCCCTCAGAACAGTGAGGCCTGCCCTCTGCATCTTAGTGGCTAGTCCCCTTGGTCTGAAAGGTGCTTCTTCTCCTGGTTGGGTTGTAGGGGAGGGCTGCACCGGAGGGCCATTTGGCTCTGCGTTGCACAGTCCCAAAAGGCCTCAGGTGAGAACTCTTGACTTTATTGATGAAGGAGAGTATGCATGGGCATTACAATAGTGTGTCAGTGTGGTAAAAGCATTTATTTGTCAAATGTGTGCACTTAAAATCTGTGGCACTTTTTTTTAGCAGCTCTATATTGAGATAATTTATATACCATAAAGGTCACCTTCTAGAATGTACAATTCAATGGTTTTTGGTGCATTTACAGAGTTGTGTAATCATCACCACAATCTAATTTTAGAACATTTTCATCACCCCAAAAAGAAACCTTGAATTCATTAGCAGTCGCTCTTTAGTCTTCCAACCCCTGCTTTAGGCAACAAGTAATCTACTTTCTGTATGTATAAATCTGTCTATTCTGGACATTTTATATAAATAGGATTGTACACTATGTGGTCTTTTGTGACTGGCTTCTTTCACTTAGCATAATGTTGAGGTTTATGCTGAGGATGTATCAATACTTCTTTTTATTGTATGGGAATTTTTTTGTAGTAGATTCATAAATGCAATAATACAAAGTAATTTTAAAAGAAACTACTGGTGGCTACAACAATGTGGATAAATATCACAGACCTTTTATTGACCCTAAGAAGCCAGACATAAGAATATAACAGTTGACCTTTGAACAATGCAGGTCGGAACTCCACAGGTCCACTTGCATGCAGATTTTTTCAATAAATACAGTATAGTACTATAAATGTATCTTCTTTTATGATCTTACTTTTTTTTTCTCTAGCTTTATTGCAAGAATGCAGTATATAATACACAAAACATACAAAATATGTGTTAATTGACTGGTCTTGGTAAGGCTTCCTGTCGAGCTATTAGCAGTTAAGTTTTGGGAGAACTAAAAGTTATATGTGGAGTTTCAACTGTGCATGGTGGGGGGGTACCCCTAACCCCCATGTTATTCTAGGGTCAGCTGGATTATATGATTCCATTTATATGAAGTTCAAGAGCAGGTGGAAGTCAGACTAGTGATTACCTCTACCTGAGGATGCAGTGGTTACTGACTGGGAAGGGAAAATGGGGGTACTTCTTGGGACCTTAAAATATTTCATATCTTCATGTGGGTAGTGTTTATGTAGGTATATATGTACATGAACATTTACTGAGCTGCACACTTAGTGAGTGTTTAGTGCTTTCCTGTAAGTTATACTTAAATGTTAAAGCTTTTGTTTAAAAGTATATGCAATTTTTATGACTTTACAAGCTTCTTTTTAAAAATATGATATAGCTGCAGAAAAGAGAACAAATCCTAAGTATACTGCTGGACAAATGTTCACAGAGTGAGCACTTCTGTGAGCGCCACTCAGGTCAAGAAGGAGAACATTACAGGTTCTTCAGAAGTCCCCTCCCTACCACTAACTCCTCTCCTGCAAACATCTGACATCATAGTTTGTTTTTGTGTTCATTTGTTTTCTTTTTAGCTTTATGTAAATGGAATCACACAGTACATTTTCTTTTGTGTGGCTTCCTTTACTTCACGTTATCATTGTGAGGTCTACCCATGCAGTATGTGGAAATAATTTGTTCACTTCGTTGTTCTATATTCTATGGTACAGACATACCCCCAATATCATCATTGATGATATTTGGTTGTTTCCAATATGGGGCAATTACAAATAGTTAACTCTCAGGATATATACTTCTTTCTGTTGGGTATATACTAGATGTGAAATTGCTGTCCTAGGATTAGATACCTGCTTTAGATAAGTTTTTGAACACCTGTTTCAGCATTTCTTAAAATAGTAGGAACCTCAAAAAGTTAGTGGCCCAAGCCTCTCTTGACCCCTGAGAGGCCAGGGTGCATCCTAGCACAGCCTTGTCTTCCCCTCCTCCAGGGCTGGCCCATGTCCCATTGGCCCTACAGTGTCTTGGCCTGCCCCGCCCAGCCTCACTACACCTCACTGCCTTGTCCGTCTCCTTCACAGGACTGTGAGCTCATTGAGGGCAGAGATAGTGTCTTGGTCATCATTATAGCCCCAGCCTCTAGCCCCAGCCTCTAGGACAGTGCCCAGAATGTAGAAATTCTTGATAAATATTTAATAAGTGAGAGAATGCAAGATCCATCCAGCTATAATTCATGGATAAAGTTGAGAAATACATTAAATTTTGAAAACTCATATATTTTTTATCTTTGCTTTCAGATATCAAATGGATCCACTATAAAGGTCTTTAAGAAGATAGCAAATTTTCCTTCAGGTAACCAATATAATGTTCACCTTTTGTTCTCACCCACCTTTATAAAGTATTGCTTTTTGCCTCTCTGATGTATCGTCACAAAAGTGAGATTGAGTTGTTGCTACGTAATTCTCTGAAATCGGAGAAAAGCCATTTTAATGTGTTTCTGTTCTGAAGAATGTGAGCCATGTGAGGAGGACAGGAAACAGTAACCAGTGGTTGACTGGAACAGCCCAGCACTAAGGAAGTTGCTGCCTTCGACAACCCTAAACTCAGGACAGAATCTTAGCCTTCCTCACTCTGTGCCAACTTCTCAGTAGGATGGGGGCTAAGAGAGGAGACTCCTCTGGCAAAATGAGGGGGAAGCTTGTAGATAATCACACAGCCCTGCAAGTGCTGAACAAACAAGATAATCCACTTAGAAATCCAAATCTCCTTTTATAGCCTCTGCAAGATTCCCAGAAAGTGAGTGAGGCAAACTAAATGGGGAGATTTTATGGGAAAGTCTATAAACTAGTCTCTATACTCTCTACCACTTCCCTACCACCTCCAGAGAGGAAAACACTGTGATGGTGCCTTGAGAAAATCCCTAGATCCTAGCCCAGGTTTGTCTCCAGAGAAAATATACCCCCGCCAAGACAGTCAGTTCAGCTCTTAGAAGGGTTCCGGGCCTCATCAACAGGGCTTCTCATACATACATACATACATACACACACACACACAACTGGAGGGGAGGCTTCCTGATTTCTAGATTTAATACTAAGATCAGCCTGGTAGGTCCCAAGTCCTAGTCAGTGCAAATAGGGAATGCAGGGACTCCAATTAAATAGGATAATTTGGTAGGTTGTAGAATACCCTTTTAGGGACACCCGTCCCCGCCCCCCCCCCGAGTTCATCATTATATCTGGCTATAGTGACAGAAGGCATCTTCCAGAAGGTGACTGTCATTCTGGCAGAGGGGAATTGGTGTCCTAAAAAGTGGAAGAGCTTTGTATTTTAAGCTTCAAAGATCAGGCCTTTTGTAGAGCTTACTGTTTGGGGATCTTGCATTTGGATCTCTTCATGGGACCTCAGAGCAGTCAATGCCTCTGCTGCTTCTCTGTCCAATTCAGCTGAGAGTCATCATTTTGATCACTTCCCTGCTAATCCTTCAAACCTCCTGGGCCTGTCCCCTTTCACCACCCTCAGTCACAACCCCAGCCCTGGATGAACCCAACTACTGGCCATTTCTGAACCTATACCCAGGCAGCCATTGGAGGAAAGTACAGTTGGAGTCACTGTAAATTCCTGGTGCCCAACACGACCAGGACCCTCAGTGCAGCCTGCTTCCACTGTGTTTCTCTAGGTAGCTCACTCTGTGTTCTCCAGAATTCTGCCTTCTCGCCTCAAAGCTCTGACCCACACAGCTCTATCACCAGCTGACTTGATCCCGTACTTCACAGAGAAAACTGGAATCAGAACTCTGTCAACGTCCAGCACCAAACCTCCTGTGTCTGCCCGGTTTTTCCTCCGTGCCTTCCCTGGCATCCCAGAGCTGTGCTTCCTCTCCTTCAAGGCCAGTCTCTCACCTGTGCCTTTGATCCCATCCTTTCCAACCTGCTATACATTCTTACACCACAGATAATCATCTCTCATCTGACCTTTCTATACCTCCTCACCTATTGCAGTTTTTCCCTTAGTGTTTCAAGGTGTCCTAGTCTCCCTCATCTTCAGTACAGAAAACCTAGTGCCTTAATCCCTCTTTCCTCCCAATTCACCACTCCCTTCACTGCCACATTTCTTTCAGGACTCTCCCCACTCTGTGCCACTCTTGCACTTGCTCTAGGAGCTCCAACTCATTGTCCTTTCCGATCCCAGAAGGGGTGCATTCCTCCTGTCTTTGGGTCTCCTCCATTTGCCAGGCTAACTCCAGTCGTTCATTTAGGTTCAGCTCCAACATTCTTTCTTCTGAGAAACCTCTCAGAGTAGGGTGGACCCTCCTTAGTTACTTTCTTAGCATATACTTCTTCACAAGCCTTATCACAATTCTAGTTATATAATTAATTGTATAATTAACCATTGAAAGTCCCTCATTGGCTAGGATGTAAACTCCATTGGGGGTGGGGTGGGAACTAGGTCTGTCTTATCATTGTTCTTTGCCCAGAAGCCTCTGGCACTCAGTAGGTGCCGTGGGTACATTTGCTAACGGAGAAGGCTTGAACCTCTCCTATCCCCGCCCCCAGCAAGGGACCGTTCAGCCTATTGGGAACCTGCTTCCTACTCCAGGCCCTGGCCCATTCTGTCTTCACGTTGTTAAGATCTTGAGATGCAGCAGGGTGAAAAAAAATGTACCTATGAAGAGCTCAAGTAACCTCTTCTGTTTATAGCACAAATGGGGCATTTTATGAGAAGGCCAATTAGCCCGTGGTTGTTTTTTTAATAGACCATTTTCTCTCCCTTTCTCCGGCATTCAGATGTGGAATACTCAGAAGACCACTGCCATTTGGTGAGCTCAGTCTTTCTTGTGCTTGCCCCTGAGTTGGATGCCTTCTGTAGCAGAAACGGTCTCCTTGGGTAACGCTTCTACTGTCTTCCCATTAGATTTTACCAGATTCAGAAGCATTCCAAGATGTTCAAGGAAAAAGACATCGAGGGAAGCACAAATTCAAAGTAAAAGAAATGTATCTCACAAAGCTGCTGTCAACCAAGGTACACTTACTGTTCTGGGAGTGCTTTTATGGCTACCTTGGGGGTGTATGATGTGTTTGACTTAATTTCCACTGAAGTGTGAAAATGTTACAAATCCCTTGTGCCTTCTAGCAAAGCAAAATGAAAGTTTAAATTGTAAACACTTCCTACCCTCCTCTTTCTTATAAACCACGAAGATAACAGCACTTTACAAATTTTGACTGTTGTATCTTCAATCAGGGATTTAATATTGTTCCCAGTCCCTTTACCCACCATCTCACTATTGTTATTTTTTAGGTTGATAGCATAATTATCCCTTTTTGTTTACTTATTATAGATGAGTGATAAAACTCCCACTCTGAATTGCAGATAAATGAAGGGTGGGGTCAGTGTCTATAAACCTAGTAAATCTTTTTTTTTCTTCATTTTAAAGTCGAGATTGCTGTTCATCTATAAAAGTGTCAGGCGTAAAAGCCAGCGGAATACTAAATCAGAAGCAAATTTTACTTTATCTGGTCTGTAGTGGGATTAGCCGAAGTCTGTGGTCATCCTTTTTTCCCACCTTGAAATGACTAGCAATATAAATGCTATTATGTACACCTGGCCCTGGTCTCCAGGTGGGCCTGCTTCTTCAGAGTATAGCAGAAGGTATGCTTAGAGCTCAGTAGATTTGTTTAGTTGGTAGAGGACAGCCAGAGCCTCTTGATTTTCTCATCTGTCCCCCAGAGCTCTGCCTATTTGGCTTTTGTAAAACACTCAAATGCTTTGGAAAGTACGTAATAAAAACCTATGATGGAAATACATGCAACGAAAAAATTCTGGGAACTGAGCAACATTGAGTTTTTCCAGGCTGAACTATTAAAACTAAATATCCGTGGCTTCTTGGTTTATGTATACAGCCCTACAACTGCCATTTCAACTGCTAGAGATTTTTGTAAGCTATCCTCTCTGTTGACTGAACAATGTTGTTATCAGCAAGAAGCTGACGAACCAAATGTAATCCTGGGCATGGATTTTCAGGGCCCTTGTCCCATACTGTGAGCGTGTTGGCCTCATTTGATAATTTGACATATTTTCGTTTCAGGTTGTTTTTTCTGTTTTGTACATCATTTTCTCTGAACTAGGATCTTATTTTTCCATTGTATTCAAAACTGATCTTTTTTTTTTTTCCTCTAGTCTCCCAAGTCTGATGTTCTCTGTCTTTCAGGTGGCAATTCATTCTGTGCTTGAGAAACTTTTTAGAAGCATTTGGAGTTTACCCAACAGCAGAGCCCCATTCGCTATAAAATACTTCTTTGACTTTTTGGATGCCCAGGCTGAAAACAAAAAAATTACCGATCCTGATGTCGTACATATTTGGAAAACAAACAGGTGGGAACAAATAGTAGGTGATATTACTATTTTCAGGAATCTGGGACAGAATCTTAACTGAAAGGAGGGCATGGATAGTCACAAAAGGATTCATTATTCTTAGATCAGAATCCTTTGGCTTGGTGCCCTACCTTGTCAGAGCAGATTCTTCCTGTTACTATTTTTAAACAAGAAACAAAACTCTTCCTATGCTGAGATCCCATTCTTTAGGATAAAACAAACAAACTTTATTTTCTTTAATGCATGAAAAGACCTTATATAGAATGTTAAATTTAGGTTGACCAGCAAAAAATAAGAAATCAGTATTTTGTGGTTTTTTATTATATGATTTCCCATTAGAGATTAATCATTTTTCAGTTATCAGGCTATCGGTCGGTACTCTGATTCTGCTTGGATATTTCCATTTTTATTTGATTAAATGCAGTACTTAGATACTACGAGAATTTGCCAAAGGACTGTGTTTTGCTTTGTTTTCTAACATTTTACCTAAAGCTGAGGCGAGGCATCCAGCTCTATTCTCAACTTCTTCTCAGTAAAGAAACATGGCTCATTACCTTTATTTGAAATACTTTGTCCATGAGCTGTGAATAAGACTCGGTGTTAAGGAGTAACAGAAGTTTCCAGGGCCATCCCAAGCCCTCCTAAGTACTGAAGGTGGGCAGACCATTTTAAATAAATATTAAAAGCTGAAGTTCCAGAGCTCTAGGTCTCATCTCCTCCATTTAACCCAGGTCTGTCCCAACTACCTACACTGGCTCACTCCCAACCTGTGTCCCAGCCTCTGATTTGCCAGTCCTGCCACTCCTACACCAGGCTTGGGCGCCTCAAGCTCCCATTTTATTGGGAAGGTTGTGGCATCTGAGCGGGGGCAGGAGTCGGAACAGTGGAGCTACAGAGAGGCCCAACAGCCTTACGATGGAGGAAGTTTGCTAGGCCCGAGTTGAGATAATAATGGAAGGACTGAATTTTCCCAGGTTCATATTCAAGTATTTGAGCTGTTAGGTGCTGGAAATAGAGCAATGAACTGAATAGACAAAAATCCATGTTCTCACACAGCTTGCATTCAAATGGGTGGGAGAGACCATAAATAGGTAAATTATAGTATATTAGAAGGTTAGTACAGCAGACAGCATGGGAAAGGAGGATAGAGAGTAATAGGGCAGTGGTCAGAGGAGGCTCACGGAGATGATATTCAAGTCAGGTCTTGAAACAGGTGAGGGCATAAACCATGAGACTATCTGGTTGAAGATAGTTTCTGGAAGATGGACAACAAAAGCAAAAGTCCTGAGGCGCACGCTTGCCTGATACGCATGAAGAACAGTGAAGAGGCCAGGGTTGGAGCTGGAATAAGGTGAAGGCTCGCAGATGACAGCCTGGGCCCAGATCGTGCAGGGGTTTTATCCCAAGGCCCGTGGACAGCACAGAGGGTTTTGAGCAGAGGGACAGGATCTTACACTGTGTTGTGGGAGAATTAACGGAGAATTAATGAGCCCCTGGGGGGCTAATAACCCAGGCAACCATGCCTTAGGTCAGGGTGTGGCACTTGGGGTGAGAAGAGGTCAAGTTCTGGAGACACCATGGAATGTTTTCATGGGTAGCCATCAATTAACACAATCTAGATCTGGAGACAATTCTAGTCTTGTCAGCGGCCACCTTCACATTTCTCCTGCTCTAGTCCTCCCATTCAGCAGTGCTTGTCAGTTTAACCCTTTCTTGTTCCGAGTGACGCTGCCATCTGTCACTTGGCATATTTGGCAGAGCAGACTTGCGTACTTCAATAACAAGGGCAAAAACACCCGTTTACAAACTGTGATAAACAGAGCAGCCGCCTCCTACGAAGGGCTGTATCTGAAGAGATTTCTCTTTGGAACAGCCTTCCTCTTCGCTTCTGGGTAAACATCCTGAAGAACCCTCAGTTTGTTTTTGACATTAAGAAGACACCACACATAGACGGCTGTTTATCTGTGATTGCCCAGGCATTCATGGACGCATTTTCTCTCACAGAGCAGCAACTCGGCAAGGTAAGGCCTAGCTTCAGTATTTCTTATATGCACTCCTGTGAGCTGTAGCATTCTTTCTTTTAAACATCCAAACAATAAAGAGTCATTGGTAGTCACTGAAAATTTGCTTTTCTTTAAAAGCTCTCATTTTTCATCTAGTTTTTAAAAAAATAGATTATTCTCCCCATCCTACTGCAGAACTCTGCCTGTGAATACCTTTACCACAAAGTATAAATTTTGTTTCCTAGAAAAACATTCTGCAGACACTACTAACCTATGAAACTACTGAAATCAGCTTAGCTTAATTAATCCCATCTGAATACAGTTGACCCTTGAATAATGGGGGATGACGGGCACCAATCCTGCATGGAGTTGAAAATTACCCTGTAACTTTTGGCTTCCCCAAGACTTAACTATCAGTAGTCTACTGCTGACCGGAAGCTTTGCTGCTAATATAAACAGTTGACTAACACATATTTTATATATTTATATGTATTATATACTGTATTCTTAAAGCTAGAGAAAACATCAAGGAAATCATAAGAGAAAATATATTTACAGTACTGAACCATGTTGAAAAAACTCCACAAAGAGTAAAGCGGACTCACATAGTTCAAAACTGTGTTGTTCAAGGGTCAGCTGTACACTCAGTCTATCTGAATATAACAAATTGCTCACAGGGAAGAAGATCTGGCCTGAGATTTCTGTCACCACTAGTTTGTCAATTCATAATCAAAACATCAATAACTGTTTTTCTTTTGGCTTTCTTTGCTGAGCAGAAGCCCCCAGAAATCAAAGAAAGATAAAAAATACAGAGCAAACTTTGAAAGGGATGTTTTGGTCTTATTCAGGCACTCCATAATATATTAAACTGAGCAATATCTGTACCTAATGGCTTTCAGAAAATCTTTTAATGCTGAGCAGTGTCCCTTTGGTGTAAGGTTTGAGAGAGTGCCTGGAATGAAATGTGGTTGGTGTCTCATAGGTGCCTCAGCCTCCTAGTCTAAATCTATACTATCACCACCATTTCTGCAAAACAGACCTGTCTTTGCTTTTGTCTTCCTAGCATCACCTTGTCTCTCAAGGTAAAATTCTTTGTGTTATCCTTGACTCCTCCTCCTTTCTCCCTTCCCCTAATTGGTTACTACTCATTGCCATCTCCAAAATGTCTCTTTTTTCCCTTCACTCTATCCTATCCCTCCATCCCCTTCCCTGGGAGAACTGCCTCAGAACTGGCCTCCTGGTCCCTGCTGTCTCATCCGCTACCTTCTCCTTTTTTGCTGTGTCTTGGGTTGTCATTCTAAAACAAAAATCTTATCTTCTCCGTCTCCTGCTTAAAAATTTTAAATACTTCCCATTACCTACCAGGTAAAATCTTCACAGTGCCATGTAGCCCTTCCTGATTGGGTGTCAAGTCTCTTTTCTGGCAAACTCCATATACTTTCTATGCTACAGCTTTTACTTTTCCCAAAGTTACCATGAACTTGTTTTCATTCATATCCCTTTCCTGTCTCATAACTCCTCTGTCTAGTAAAAGTCTTATTCATTCATTCACTCCACAAACACAGCTTCCTCATGTGTACCAGGAGCTACAGGAAGCTATGATCAGTCTAAATGTAACTACTCTATGAACTTGCCCCGCACACTGCCCACACCTGTTCTTCATCTGACCAATGCAACAAAAATGCTTCTTTATTCACAGGAAGAAAAATGGCTGTTAACTCATTACTATGTTCTTGTTATATTTCACTTAGTCATCACAAGAACCATATAATGTAGTTATTATTACCCTCAGTTTATAGATGAGCAAATTGGTGTTCTGAGAGGTTGCAGGTCTTGGTTAAGATCCCTCCAAGTTGTTAGGATCCCTGATTTGTCCAGCTCCATGGTGTTTCTCTTTACACCCTGCTACTAATTATTGGTATCATAGTAACCACTGTGTACCTTTGTCTTTTAAAGGCAGGTACTGGGCATCTTTACCCTTTTACATTCAATGTCTACCACAGTGCCAAGCATCTCAGTAATAGCTCAGTGTAGGCATCCTTCACAATGACGCAGCCACCAATATGGCTCTTTGTGCCCTCAATACATTAAAAATGTACTGGGACATCAGCCCTATCATTAACTCACCCATTTTCCCTGAGTAGGAATTTCAAAAATTTTGTGGAAAATGGCTTTTAAAAATAAAATCTTAATTTTTAATATTATCGCTATTATAATTACATAAAAACATGCAAGCTGACAGGGAACTTTCACAAAATCAGACATCAGAGCCCCCAATACTAATGACTGTGTACTTCCTTGAGAACAGTAGAAGAGCTTTATAATCTAATAAAAGGGATAAGCAGAAAAATCCACCACCGCCAATTACTTACCACTTTCATGGTTATATAATGGGCTCAATCAGACCTACAATCAAGTCTTTCATAAATGCCAAAATTCACTGGTGGGTGAAGATGAGAGCAAATGTTTTAATTCAGGCTTTTTACAACCATTAGTAATGAACTATGATAGAAATAAGTTCCATTGTTACAGTAACTCAAAATCATGCAAAAATAATAATTTTAGTTCTGAGAGGAAGGCAGAATATATTAGCATTTAATCCGCCTTAAGAACAGTGACTCACCAGAAGGATCTGGATAGCAGTTAGTCATTCAGTCAACATTTACGAAGGCCCACTGCATGCAAAAGCTTTGAAAGCTTTGTTACTAGGAGATAATAATGGTGGAAGTTCAGCTACACTGGTATTGTTATAAAATTCCCCATGGTTTTTTACTCTTGGCCGTGGCTGCTCTTTTTTTTTAGGAAGCACCAACTAATAAACTTCTCTATGCCAAGGATATCCCAACCTACAAAGAGGAAGTAAAATCATATTACAAAGCAATCAGGGATTTGCCTCCATTGTCATCTTTGGAAATGGAAGAATTCTTAACTCAGGAATCTAAGGTATTGTTAGAAAGCAGAAATAAGAGGGGTGCTTGGGTGGCTCAGTTGGTTCAGCTTTCGAGGCTTGATTTTGGCTCAGGTTGTGATCTCAGGGTCCTGGGATCAGGCTCCGTGCTGGACGTGGAACCTGGCTTTAAGATTCTTGCCCTCCCTCTCTTTAAAAAAAAATTGAAATAAGAGAATATTTACTTTTTTAAAAAGTCATTTCAGAATCTCTCAACAAGACTCTCTTTCTTTAAGAAACATGAAAATGAATTTAATGAAGAAGTGGCCTTGACAGAAATCTACAAATACATCGTAAAATATTTTGATGAGGTAAGATTTTTAAATAACATTTTAAAAAATTGATATTAGTCTCCAGGATTTGGGTGTACAGCATTCTGTAGGTTTCAGGACAGCTCTGGCATCCCTAATGGCCAGACAGGGAAGCCAGGAAGCCTGTCTGAGGTGGGGGATCCTGGCACTAAGCCAGACCCTGCACGTGGCTGCCCCCTTCTAGTTTTATCATGCTGCCCACCTTCGGACCAGCCTGAATTTACATTTGAGTTAATGGGGTCTGTAGCCATACTGACTCAGGATAACGTTGATGAGTAAGCAGTGGTCCTATTAAATAGGGCCAGCTTATGCTTGATTGTAATCTGCTAAAATGAAAGCTAAGCTTGTTAAGTTGCCTAGATTCTGTATTCAACAGGTATATGAAAGTATAACATATTTCTAACTTAAGCAACTATTTCAATAAACCATTCTCCTTTGATTAATTCTCCTTAATCTGGATTTTTTTCTTTGGGAATTCACACAGACACAGTCATCAGATGCGCTGTTTCCAAATATATGTTAATTCCCCCTTCCCTGATTCCCCCCCACTCAGTCATGCTGGGACAGGCTATCCATGTCAATGGTGAGAATAGCTCACCAATTCCATTTGCTACTTGAAGATCAAGTGAAGCGCTAAGGTAGGGTAGAGGCAATGAGTTCCTTAAACATGATAAGCATCCTTCTTTCCAGGGGCCAGGGGTTAGAAGGGAAGCACTGGGGAGGGTAGGGGAGGGGAAAGGAGGCACCACACTGCCCAGGAGGGGAGGGGAGGGAAATACTTAACTGACCAGGATGGCCCTGCCTGCTGCATTTAAGAAGAAATACTTGCCTGCATGTTGGCTGCCCAGAATGCTTGCTGTGCTTGGAATGGCTGTGACATAATGCATAAAACAGGGCCTTGGAAGTCTGGCCCCATATTTGTAAGCAAATAGTTGGTACTTTTTGCTAGCTTCTATTTTAAGCCAAAGTGTTGTTGATCCTGTGATAATGACTTAGCAAAACAACTTGCAAAGTGAGTATGTAAATGATGGAAGAAAATGTTGGCATCTGTTTCATACAGATTTTACCACTCACAGCATCAGGAATGCAACCCCCCCCCCAGAAAACAAAACAAAACAAAACAAAACAAAAGCAACAAAACTCCAGAATTGTAATGCTAAAACCACAATGTCTAAAATAACTGTTCTAATTGTCAACAGATTCTAAATAAACTAGAAAGAGAACGAGGGCTGGAAGAAGCTCAGAAACAACTCTTGCATGTAAAAGTCTTATTTGATGAAAAGAAGAAATGCAAGTGGATGTAAGCACTCTGGGGACTGGCTTAATCTGGCAAAATTCTTCAGACGACTTGGGAGCAAAATGGCTGCTTGAGCTACTCTGTGTCGTTCATTTTAAAGTTTGCACACAGGTTCCACTTTGAGCACAGTCTTTCAGAGACCAAGGCACATGCACAGCTTTTAGAAAGCATACCCACCATTGTGCCTGTGCATATACTGTGGGAGCCTTTCTGTAAATAGAGTCGAAGTGGTTGTTGCAAACAGCCTCCTTGTTTACAGAGAATACAGGGCCAGTAAGCAAGTGTCAGTATTGTTAACTACGGTCTCCACTTAAGCACAATGACAGCAGTGGTTTTGTTTGAAAACTACAGTTATGTAGCACTTGTGACTACACTGCATCTCTGCAGAAAAGGGACACTGCCAGTGATGACAAGAAAATGTGAAATGAGTCATTTGGCAACAAGGCGGGAGTGTTAGGGCAACCTCGAGGATCTGCAGCATTGAAATTTTCCCCAGTAGTTCTTGGAAAAGCTGACCACGGAATCTGGTAGTGTGTACACTTAGCATTTGTGAGTGTGTGTGTGTTTTTAAACCAAAAACTGACAGTGTTGCAACATTGTTGAAAGGGCTCGTGTTTTTCAGTGGTCGCCAATTACACTCCGTCAACTCACCTCCATCTCACAAGGAGCTCTAAAGCAAGGAGAGTGAGGAGGTTTATTTAAATGCAACAGCATTTTACCCACTTTGTCCTGATGTGTTCCTTTTTTCATTTTTTCATGCTAAATGTATTTGATAGTGGACATGTTGGCTATTGTAAAACAAAACAAAACACCATTAGTTTATTTCTGTCTAAAAGCTTTGATTAGAACTAACTGTAGAAGAGTAACTTCCTCCCCTAATCCTACATTTCTATACTTGGTGTCTCCTTGCTTTAGATTTCTGGTGAATCCTGTGATTATAAATACTTGTGTGTGATTACAAAAAAAAAAAAAAAAAAAAAAAAAAGATACATTTTACATTTCATGAAATTGCTGTTCACACTGGAGTATTATATATGAATATATATATTTGAGGCCCAAGGCCTGAAAAATATTAGTATACAACTTGGTATCTTAGTCTTACTATGTACTTTTTGAAAGTATTCCTCACAAGAGAAAGAATTCAAAATACCCAATTTATTCATGCCTTTCTTTTTAAATAATTCCCTATCCAGTTATACTGTAGTCTTTTTATTGCTGGTTTTTTATTCCTGAATTTTTGCTGCTCATGACCAATTTTAATACCACTGTGTTTCCTTCTATTAAATCAAAAGTAAAAAAATGTAATTGGCAACTCTCAACTTTCCTTGTGGCACCTTTTACCCTTGGTGCTCTGAATCCCAGATTAAGGAAAGCCATTTTTTCAAGTAGCAAATAAAACACTGATCATATATTCCTTAAAATCTTATACCAACACTGTATGGGATATCAGGATATCAGTGTGAATTTGTCTTTGAAAATGAAATTCTTTTTGCTCCTCAGTATCTAGCAAAGAGTAAGAGGTGATACCTCAGCAGAATGATCAAATAAGCAGTTATTACCCTGATAGGCCCCTTCCTAATCCCGTCACTTTTGACCATTGTCTGTCCAATGGACACACCTCAAAAATACTACCAAATAGGTTACTTACAAGTATAAAGGTGAGAGGTCTGGTTCCCATCTAAGGCTGCGACAGTCTTGATGTGAAGGCATTTTCATAAGAGAATAACAGGACAGTTGAGAGCCAAGGGTAGGAGAGTTGCCCAAAGGACTTCCCCTTCTTTAGGGTACAGAAATGCTAAGAAAAGGATCAGCTACAGCTTTATCAAAGTATTCAGTAAATGCTACATGAGGGTGTCCCTGTCCAGCTCTCTGGCACATGAGTCCCATGGGGAGACCTACCTCCTCTTCCGGGTACGATGCTGCTGGGAACTTTGGGCAAGTCACTTACCTCTTTGTGCCTCAATTTCTGTATAATATTTCTAACCTACCTCACTGAGGTGGTGTGAAGATTCACTAATGTATGTAGCGTGTTTGTCAATCCTCCAGTGAAAAGCACTATCTAGATCACATTTTGGATCACATTAGCCAAATGCAGTAAATGGCCAAATTAGATGTGTGCTGAAGACAATCAGTCACTGGGTCTATATTAAACAGCAACCAGAGAAACAAATGGCAAACAATTTCTATTTTCAAGTTTCTTTGCATATTTTTTTGGTGCAAACAATTCATTTATAAACTTTTTTTTTCTAACACTAGTGTCTACAGCAGCATTTAAAAATTATTTCTGTTACCTTTTCTGTATTAGGGATCTAAAGTCTATTTCTTATTGTATACCTGATTGAAGCTGTACTTGGAGATGAATGTTTTAAATGTCTATATCCAAAAATAAACATTTTGATGTAAATGTGGACTGTCTTTTTTTTTTTTTCCCTTCAAATGTTCTATTATAGTAAAGTTTTTATTCTAAGTAGCTCCATGGAAAGTATCTGGGTGCCAGTGCATATGTGAATAAGCAGCTCTGTAATGGAGTAAGTACATCTAGTTTCTTCTAAATGATGCTAAGGACTGCTCAGTTACATCCCTGGCCTCCACTATCTACCTGGACTTTTGATCCTGAAGACTTCTGGACAATGAACATTCCACTTAGTTTGGCGGACTTGAGCTCTGCCTTGTTGACGTGAAGTTATTGCAGCAGAATTCCTTTAAAAGATGTTAGGGATACCCAGAAATAAAACATTTATAATAACTTGGTTAGATCCACAACAGTGGGAGCCAACATTAAATACCAATAATATTTCTAAGGGACCCCAAGGGATTCAAGTTTTACAATGAATGGCCCTTTGTTTTATACGGTCATGGGATATAATTATTTGTATTTTGTGTGGCTTTGGGTTAGAATAGAAAATAACAATGAGATCTTCCACATTGCTAAATACACACTATATGGTCAAAATAAAATTAAACACACAACAATATAGAAAAATATTAAGTTCTTTAATTATGTGCACACAGTTTTTAGAATGGTAGCATTTTATAATATTTAGGTATCTTCAAGTTTTGTTTTTTAATGCTGACTTTTAAATTGCCATCTTTTTTCAAGAACTAGAGGTTTAGAACTCCTGTATATAGTGAACTGGAAAATGTTTACTGACCCTGTTACTGCCAACCATCTCAAAGAGGCTGAAGGAATTCAACATGGGCATATTTTAGGCAAAATGCCAAAAAAAGCCAAAAAATTTTGAAGTGAAATTAATAAAATAATTTAAAAACTTGATTCCTTTTTTTTTTTTTAACATTCTCAAAGGGTTGTCAATAAATATTCTAAATATCTCTTGAGCTGTTTTAATGCTTCGCTTGTCATTAGTATAACCCTAAAATCCTGACACTGATGCAATATAGCATATAGCCAGTACCTTTTCTCGAAGCACATTCAAATGTTCTGGCAAACAGTAATACAATATCTAAATGCCACAGATGTTAAAACTTCAAGCTTTATTGAGTCACACTGATTTCATCCCTTTTATCTGCCTTTTCTCCAAGAACATCATTCCCCAGGAGATCCAAGTTCCTCTAGTTGTTTCCTTTGTGTTGTTTCTAGTTCTTCTAGTCTTTTGCGAAGTAGAGAGAGTTCCCTTTGATGCTGTTCCTCCTTAAAAGCAGAGAAAAAAAGGGGGGGGGTGTGAAGCAAGCTCAAAAAAACAGCTGGAAAAATAACTGGTAGGCAACAGCCTCCGTGGCTCTTTCACTCAGGCCACAACATCTGGCACAGAAAGGATGACCATTTTAGCAGTCTGAGAAGACAGCATCACGGGCCAGACTACTAACTAGTCCTTGCTTCTCTTCTGCCTCAGGCACCAGCCCTTGGCAAATCCCAAAGTCTGTTCTTCTATCTAGATATAAAATTCACCAGGGAGTGATTTGGAAAATACTAATGCAGGGCCCAGACGTACTTACATGCTGATGTTCTAACAAGGCTGGAGTTTAGTAGTTTATTAAAAACAGAGCACTTGGTCTGAGACTCAGTTCAGTGACTAAAATCTTTGGTGCTTATAACACTATAAAATGTAATTACTTATTACATCATCTTTTGAAAATCATCCCATCAATTTGATTCCTTCAGTATCTCAGGGACCTAATTCGTAGAATGAGCCCAGGATTTGGAATCAAACAGATTTAGGTTTGACACTCAGTTCTGTGACTTATTAGCTACGACCTTAGGCAAGTTATTTCACCTCTGACTCAGCTTCCTCATCTGTAAATTAGAAAATCACCTTCCCTCAAAATATTTTCCATTAGGATTAAATAAAATGTTATACAGAAAATGCATAGTGCACAGCATTAGTAAACGCTCAGCAGCAGTTAGTAATGGAGTGAGCTGCAAACTCTAGGTCACTCAAAGACTCATCAATCAAGTTTCTTCTTTTCAACTGTCCATGAGATTTCATTCCTAGCATCATCACTAAGGCACAGCATAGATTCAAATCCACTTTGCTTTTACCGGCAAATTTCTATAGTAAAGAAAGATTTGAGTTTTTAACTCTGAATTTAAATAGGCAAAAACTTACAGAAATGTTAGTGTTTTAAAAAAAAAAAACAACAACAAACAAACAAAAAAACCAAAACACAAATGCTTGTACCTGCATATGAGGAGGAAAGGATAGGTCCATGCCTGGAACCATGGCTGATGACTGAAAGGTAACAGGATTGATAGATGCTGTTGGAGGTATGTTAGGAACCAAAATTAAACTTCGAAATTCATTATGTCTTCTCTGTATGTCCTTTAGTCTTTTTTGAAGCCTTGTATATTCTTCAAATGGAACATTTTGTCTTAAAAAGAAAAAAAGTGTTTCTGTTCTTTAATAGTTATACTCTATTGAAGAACAGTATGATTCACAGAATTTCAAATGGGAACAAAATGGACTTCAAAATTGTAAGATTTATCTGTATATGATTTATACATAAAACTCTATCTAGAAAGATAAATAGAAATATGACATCTTAATGATGTATTACTGTTAGTTCTACAAGCTTTCAACTCATTTTTATTTTTTTAAAGATTTATTTATTTTAGGGGTGCCTAAGTAGCTCAGTCTGTTAAACATCTGCCTTTGGCTCAGGTAATGATCCCAGGGGCTCCCTGCTCGGTATCTGCTTCTCCCTCCGTCCCTCCCCCGTTCATGCTCCCTCTCCTCTCTGAAATAAGTAAATTAAAGAAGTCAAATCTTTTTTAAAAAGATTTGAGAGCGAGAGAGAGAGGGAGAGTGAGCGCACACCCGAGTATACACACATGCAGGGAGGTCGGGGGAAGAGGGAGAGAGAATCTCCAGCCGACTCCCCACTGAGTGGGAAGCACCACTCAGGGGCTTGATCTCATGACCCTGAGATCATGACCAGAGCCAAAACCAAGAGTCAGATGCTTAACCAAGTGAGCCACCCAGGCAGCCCAACTACTAACTCATTTTAAAGTTTTATTTGCTAATTAATTGAAGAGTAAAAACCTTTTGGTACTTTTACTTTCATTTCCACTCCACTCCACCAACCCATGAATCCTGAAACTAAAAGACTCCTTAAACCAAAAGGGTGACTTTTATTATCAAAGGAGTCAAGTAGAAATAGAGAAAATAGTAGGTTGAACCTTACAAAATTGTCATTTTTAGAGGTGAAATATGGCCCAATACAGGAATTACAGCCTAATTATTAAAAATGTAGCTAATGGGGGTGTCTGGGTAGCATAGTCAGTTAAGCCAACTCTTGGTTTCAGATCAGGGTCATGAGATCAAGTCCCACATGGGATTCAGCGCTGAACAGAAGCCTGCTAAAGTTTCTCTCTCTTTCTCCTGCCCCACTCCACCCACACACATGCACACACACTCTCTCAAATAAATAAATAAATCTTAAAAAAGAAATGTAACTAATGACAAAGGTAAAGCTACCCATTAACTTTAGGGAAAAAGGATCTGGGATAAAAAAGCTAACT